TTCCAGACAATCTACGGCCGTGCTTCAGACAGTCTACGGCCATGATTCAGATACTCTACGGCCTTGTTTCAGCTGGAGGCATCTCATGAATCTTCCTTCACATCGTTGGACTAGCCTAGCCTTAGCAGGACAGGCTGCAGAGTGAAGCTGCAGGCTATGAGGGAGATGAACTGGACCAGAGGTCAGGATCTGCCCTAAAGCAAGATGGCCGCTGAGCAGAACCAAGGAGAGACCTACTGAGGTACGAGTCAGCAGTTCTCCTGCCCACAGAAAACTGGTTTCCTGGAGAAGCAAGAGGGTGAGAGGGCAGAGCAGACGTCAGACTATCATCCACAGGAAGCTGAGACGGGATACAGAGCGCCCCAGCTAGACTACTGGGAACACTGGGAGTGGAGACTGGGAGGGAGAATGAAAGGAAGACTGGGAGGGCGACGGGCAGACGGGTTAGGTGGTCCAAAGAAAGAACTGATCTGATTGAAATCTCTAAGAGGTGGAACAGGCCAGTCTGAAATGTTCTACCACCTTGATAACCAAACAGGAACATTCCTGGATACTGAGCTGATGAGCTCTATGATGGCAGCAGAAGATCCTCCTCCTGAGGACATGACTGCTTCTGATACAGGAAGACCAAGAGACGTACCTTCCTCATCCGACACGTCCAGGACTTCAGTCATGGTCTCAGGAACATTCAGCTTGTGTTTCTCCGTCACCGTCTGTCCAGAGGAAGGAGACACGTCACAATAGGTTCAATACAGCAGATACTGGTGGGAATGTGAGCAGGAATGACCCTATCCTGGGAGCAGGAAGCTGGGGGCAGTGGGCGGAGTCACGGAGATGATGGAGAAAGATAGAGACTCGCTGTTTTCCATCCAATCAGCCTCTGGGACTCTTTCTGTTATTTTTCTTAGAGCGGAATTAAAGACATTGCCAAAGCTGATCTAAAAATAAAATCTATTTCTTAAAAGTCAGGTAATTGCCACAGTTTGAGTAGCAAATAATTAGGACAAGCTACCAATAAAATTATTGTCTTTACCCTGAAAAGCAGGAGAAATCCTAGTAAAGATTGTCAGGATCTGAGGAGGGTCTCTACTAGGTGCTAACGCCCTCTGTGTTTAGCTATCATCCAGCTCCTTTTTTCCTGGCGTACCGTAGTCGTGGTGATGATCTCCTCAGTGACGACCCGCAGCGTGTCCACCACCGATATGTAGCCTAGCCTCCTGGCGATACCCAGAGCAGTGTTACCATTCTGGAGAAGGAGACATGGAATCAGAAGGTTCTTCTCAAACATAGAAGATAGCACTGGTATAAGCTAGCATGGGATGGTATAAGCTAGCATGGGATGGTATAAGGTAGCATGGGATGGTATATGCTACCATGGGATGGTATAAGCTAGCATGGGATGGTATGAGCTAGCATTGGATGGTATGAGCTAGCATGGGATGGTATAAGCTAGCATGGGATGGTATAAGGTAGCATTGGTGGATATCAGCTAGCATGGGTTGGTATGACCTAGCATGGTTGATATGAGCTAGGATGGGTTGATATGAGCTAGCGTGGGTTGGTATGAGCTAGCATGGGTTCATATGAGCTAGGATAGGTTGATATGAGCTAGCATGGGTTCATATGAGCTAGGATAGGTTGATATGAGCTAGCATGGGTTCATATGAGCTAGGATAGGTTGATATGAGCTAGGTTGGGTTAATATGAGCTAGCGTGGGTTCGTATGAGCTGGCATGGGTTGAAATGAGCTAGCATGGGTTAATATGAGCTAGCGTGGGTTGGTATGAGCTAGCATGGGCTGATATGAGCAAAAAAAGGTTAGTATGAGCTCATGTTGTTTAGAGTGAGCTAACATTGTTTAGAATGAGCTAACACGGGTTAGAATGAGCTAACGTTTGGTAGAATGAGCTACGCTGGTCAGAATGAGCTAACGTTGGTTAGAATGATCTATCGTCAGTTCGAATGAGCTAATGTCGGTTAGAATGAGCGAACGTCGGTTGGTGTAAGCTACCATCGGTTAGACTGAGCTAATGTTTGTTAGACAGAGCTAACATGGGTTGGTGTGAGCTAACGTTTAGTTTCCGAGTGTGTTTACGAACCACAGTGATGGCATTAGGTTTGGCACCGTACTGCAGCAGGACATTGATGATGTGTGTGTTTCCTTGCTGGGCAGCTTGATGTAAAGGAGTGTATCCGCTCTGAGGAGAGAAACGGAGATGAGTCAGGAACTAGCGAAGCTGAGAGCTCTGCGTTAGCTTCAGGAAAGAGGCTACCTTGGTCTTTGCATTGACACTGGCTCCGTTCTGAAGAAGGAAGTTCACCATCTTGGCATTGCCGTAGTGACACGCTACGATTAGAGGCGTGTAGCCCAGCTGGAAAAAAAAACACAAATTAATGAGAGACAACATGCAAACATCCAAAAAAAACATTTTCATACAATTTTCATTAATCACTGTCATTTCTACGACTGTTTATACCAACAGGTTCATTTGGTGGAGGCTTTCTTTCTATTCATGTTCAGGTGAATTTAGTTAGTTTGGAAATTAGTGTTTGGTTTGGTTGATGTTAAATCAATCAATCAATCATTCATTCATGTTGAACGTAGAGACCTATTTTTGAAGAACAAAGTGATCAGACCATAACTAGTTATGGTGAGAATCCAAAAATATCACGTAGACCCAAACCAGGTTAGGGAGCTCCAGGCTCTACAGGATGAAGTTGGTGGACAAAAGAGGAGTGACGGACTGGATGGTCATACCTTAGTCTGGTGGTCCAGGTTGGCGCCGTTCTTGGCAAGGATCTCGGCCACAGACACTCTGTCTTCTTGGGCTGCCAGATGGAGGGCGGTGAGGCCGCTCTGCTCCAGGAAACAAAGCAGTAACATCAACTCTTGATGGGCTAGGAGGGTGTAGCGATGCCTTACCCACGGCTTTGGCTCTGTACCTTGGTGGGGACGTTGATCTGGGCTCCCTTGGTGATCAGCAGGACTGCCATGTCTGCGTGACCCTCCTGGGAGGCCAGGTGGAGCGGAGTCACCCCCTGCTTGGTCAGGATGTTGGTCTCTGCTCCGTACTGCAGCAGCACCGTGGCGATGTCCATCTGGTTCTTCTTAGCCGCGATGTGCAGAGGAGTGTAGCCATTCTGGGTGATGGGGGCAGAGGTTGGGGTTAGCGCTGAATGCTAGCAGCCAGTGTCCTGAGCCGACCCGAAGAACAGCATCATCAGGACCAGAGATCTAAAGCTACACTGGGGTCAGTGGAAGGGTCAGAGATGAAGCTGCCAAAGGGTCAGTCTGGCGTGTTTAGTAAACCAAGCCTCATCATCACTGCTGACACACTGCTTTAGAACCAGAGAGCAGAACCACCACATTCAGATCAGCTCAAAAAAGTTACGACTTCAGTCTTAAAGTCGTCGAGAAGCGGCTGTTCAAACCGTTTCATTTCTGAATTCTCCCAAGTAGTGCCCAACTTTACATGAGTGAATAAAGTGAATGTGATTGGTCAATTATGAAGGGGGCGGGATTGTTGTGGAAGGTTTGCGAGCATGTTTGGTTGTGGCCGGTTTGTCGGAAGCATCTTGCTAACCAGTTAGCAACTTAGTGCTAGCAGGTTCCCAATGGGAAATTCCATTGGGACCAAGTAGCACTAAATTGGTGACTTAGAAACGACGCTGTCAAGGAACGCTATGGACAGCGGAAACATGCAAGAGGAGGAGAGTTTAGTGTCGGAGGTCGTGGATGAGTCTCCTCCGTCATCCATTTTTTATTTAGAGGAGGAAAGCGGGGACGAAGATGTTGTGGAAGAGGACGCCAGGGCGGCAGAAGCTTGGTTTGGTGTAGAAGGCTTCCAGCCGTACATGTTTGAGCCCTTGCCTCGCAACGCTGCCAGTTCTGTTAGCTCTACGCCTGCCGAAGACACCTCAGCAAGTCGGCCTCAGCAGATGGCCGCTCACACTGAGCCTGGTTCTGCTGGAGGTTTCTTCCTGTTCAAAGGGAGTTTTTCCTCTCCACTATCGCTACAAGCATGCTTAGTGTGAGGGATTCTAGATGTTTCACTGCATTAAACCAGAGAAGAAAGCAAAGTGATCCTTCCTGTTCCTGAAGGAGGCGCTGCAGATCCTCACCTTGGCCATAGTGTGGGGAGAAGCTCCTCTGTCCAAAAGCAGCAGCGCCACCTTTTGGTTGTCGTAGTGAGCTGCAACGTGGAGAGGAGTGAGGCCGTTCTGCAGGGGAGGAAGGCTGAGGGTTAGACAGCAGCTAGGGAAGCAGCATGGAGTCTGTTAGCTGCGGGGGGGGGGACTGCCTTCTTCATGCTTCTGATGCATTTAGCACAGCAGCTAACCCCATCAGCGCCCAGGTAGAGAGACGCCGCAGGTTTACCTTCCCAGCAGAGTCAGGAGGCGCGCAGCGCTGCAGCAGCAGCTGGGCTACGTCCAGGTTCCCATACTTGGCAGCGACATGCAGGGGGGTGAACCCTTTCTGCAGAGAGGAGAGAAACAGGCTGAGCAACATAGAAAAGAACAGAACACTCACTGCAGAAACATCTATTATAGAGTTAAAATCAGCAGGTCTGAATACAGGAAACCATCAACCAGTAAAGATCAGGAGACATTCACAATGATAATCCGTTACTTTAACAGAATTAACGCTGGAATAAAGTTAGCTTTTTATGCATCCATGTTATTGGATTGAATTTTTAAATAGAAAAATTAAAAAATTAGAAAATTTTTCCATTTCAAAATCTAAAGTCAACTCCTGAACTGAGCGTTTCTTATTTTTTGTTCTTTTTTCTGTCTTCTTTCTGTGGGGGCGGAGCACTGCGGGGGGAGGCGGAGCGCTGCGGGGGGAGGCGGAGTGCTGCAAGGCGGAGCGCTGATGGAGGATGTGGGATTTCGTGGTAACATGAGAAGCAGAGCAAGTGACGTTTAGACACTGTCGTCAGACAACATGCGGTAATTTATAAATGTTTTAAATCAGTTTGGATCTGAATTAGCCAGCAGGTGGATCTGGATCCGGATTAGCCAGCAGGTGGATCTGGATCCGGATTAGCCAGCAGGTGGATCTGGATCCGGATTGGCCAGCAGGTGGATC